CATAGTTACTATTAGTTAGTACTACCATCGGCTTCCAATTATATTTTTCCGTAAAGATATTGTTGGCTTTATTATGAATAACGTCTCTTAAACATTGATGCATGTTTATGTATCACTGAATGTCTGTGGAATTTGATGCCAAATTTGACAGAGTTCTTCCATAGTTTGCTGCAGTCATCATTTTCTTTGTACCAGAATAACAGACAAACACAAATATGGAATTATCGTGGAGAGCGAAATGAAAAGAATCTCCATAAGTCCCTAGATAGCAAAATGTCTGCAGTCTTCTAGAAGACTGTCAGCAGATTCGAGCAGAAAATGACGGCAATCTGCCATCAACTGCGTCCGCATTAGGCTTATGTTCTGTTAACATTGCTTGTCGACATAATGTGAAGGCAAATTGTTAGCAGAAATTGAGCAGATCCTGCCGACATTATCTGACGCTAGACTGTCAGCAAAAACGACACAGATCCTGCTCTGACACGATCTGACAGGAGATTGTCGACAGAAATTGATAATTGATAATTGATTGTCGCAGATTGTCCCAGAATCTGCTGGGTTTCTGTCAACAATTTGCTGTCAAATCGTGTCAAAGCAGGATCTGCGTCATTTCTGACAATCTAAGTGATGTCGACAGGATCTGCTTGGTTTCTGTAAACAATATATAATACTATCAGATTATACCATAAATCTGCTTTGTTTCTTTCTCTAGTCTGTCATTTACTTCTGCTTGCAGATTCTGTTACGTTTTTTCTAGCAGTCTGTCAACATTATTATGTACATCTAATTCTGTAACAATTGTATTGTTATTTTGTTGGCATAGTGTGTAGCAGATATTTAAAAAAATCTGCTTTCTACAAACTTAGCTGTCTGAGTACTGTCAGTTTGATCTTTCTTAAGAGTAGTTCCGTTGTGGTATAGGCCGGTATCTCGATTTATTTCACTTATTATTATACTATCTCTTGAATTAACTAGACTATATATCAATGAAATATAATATATATCAACGCGTCCGTATAATATTCTTCCATGCGTAATCGGATAAAGCATAGATTCATACTTATATGATAGTACCCGTTGCCATATTGCATCTATCATATATTTTTCAGAGAAAATCGTGTTAACGGTTTAAACCTTCCGTCGATGAGTCTTGACCTCAACCGACCGAGCATATCTGGAATATACTTGAGCATTGATTACAATGACAGTACTCACGATTAAGAACTTTAGGGCAGTTAACGGAAGCTCCCTGTTGGGAATTTGATATTCAAACTTCACAGACAGCAATCCAACGATGCATAAACATGCAGTAAGAGACATTAAGAGACATTCATAAAAGAAGCAGCAATACCTAAAACTAAAAATTTAATTTCCTTATTATGTACTCACGCGAGCACGTGACACACACACACACGCGCGCGCGCGCGCATTCGCATTTGCATTCACACACACATAAGAAACTTAAATCCATCTGTGCTATCTTCACGTAGTATACTTCGGATAACGCTAACGATGATCGCCTGTTGCGATGTAAGAATAGAATCAGCAAATGTCATTTTGCTCGAAGTCATAACTTCAAACATGAAAAATATTGATTAAAAAATGTCGCAACCGTTTTTTTATCTCATTGAAATTAGTAGATTCTAAAGTTTAAAACTATATATTAACATTATAAGATTCCTCTCCTTTTTTAAGCGGGATAAATAAAGATGAATAGGAACAAGTAATTACTTCAATTTTCAACTTCATCTTTTACTTAAGTTTTTATATAAAAAGTTTATTTATATCTAAAAAAAATGATAAGAGTATGTTAAAGAGAAAATATAGAACTTTTTCATTCATTGTTTTACGAATACTGTGCGTTACCCCGTTCGTCTTTCATGAATAGTCAAAGTTAAAGTAACACTTTTTGCTTCAATGTTAAATAACAATAAAAGAAATGTTTAATGCTCAACAAAAAAGTAAATTCAAAGTAAAGATTCACGCTGTAGAAAACTGTAAACTGTATTTGTGCTGGACTTTTCATTTAAATAAAACTTCGCAAAGTTCGTTAAAAAATTTGAGATTTTATGAATGTTTGTTTATGTGTACCTCCGTAAAAATCAGTCATTATTTTATAAGAAATAAGCAACAACACGAGAAAAATCAGAGGGCTCTGAGATTCGAGCCGAGACGTGGTCTCCTTCATATTGATAGACTTCCGTCCTGCCATCGAACCATACAGCCTTGACGCTGATAGTTTCTTTGTTGTGCCTAATTTCTTCCGACCTTCTTGCAATTTAAAGTAAATATCTGGAAAGCAGAGATTTCAAGCTTGAAAATACTTTTTTAAGCATCATATTCTGGCTATTTTCATAGAAGTTACATTGCTTATCCATTTTTTAACCGTGTGACACTTGATGGTGTAATTTCCGCGTGTAGTGTAATAGGAATCGTTACACTAGTCTTTATCGTAATAATTATAAAACAATACAATACTGATTCAATACTGGATTAATAAATCTTAATCATATATCGATTTGTATTCGTTACTGTAGTAATCGTTACTGCGAAATCCGTATTGATTACTAAAAAAATGTTTACTGTTGGAATATATAACGATTAATGTAAAAAAGACTAAAAGTTGAGAGTGCGCAAAAATACAACTTTTATTTTTCATTTCTCACAAATAGCAAGAATTGTAAAGTATCAAATGAGATAAGCCACTCATTAGAGAAAAGAAATTGCGTGTACTAACACTGTAAACAAGTTTGAGTGGATGGGGTTTTGATTCTAAGAATACTACAGTGAAAAGCGGGCATAGGATCAGCTGTCGATAAGTATTAAGACTGTAGGCCGCAAACAAGAAAACGGAGTAGCTGAGCGAACTGTGCTGTGAACACGATTATACTTTTTCTGATTTGGTCAACGAAAGTTCGAATTCCCGTAGTGTTAATTTTTTTTTAAAGTAACAATCATATTTTATAATGTAATTTATTTTTCTTTTTCTTTTTTAAGTAAAAATAATTGCAATTTTTGTTATATATTAAAATAAATAACAAGATTTCTTGAAGTTTTAATTATTTATTATAAAATTTAGATATTGCCTTACAATGTTGTTTATGAAAATCAAAGCAAAAACTTTTAAAACACAAAAGGATGCGCACTATGAAGATTTTATAAATATTTTTGTAGAAACATTTCATGCAGCAAATATTTGGAGGAAAACATTGTTGATTTTTTTTTTTGTAAAGTTATTCTATTTATATAATATCAATCAATTAGTAATTAAAAAATTGTACAGCAATGTCTAAAATAAATCTAAATTTTTTAATAAATAATTGAAACTTAAAGAAATTTTGTTATTTATTGTTATATACAGGATATTTGGAAATTAATGATAAATCTTTCGCACAGGGGCAGAATGGACTAAACTGAGAAGAAAAATTCTCTACCATTTTACAATTGTTGCAATGGTTAACGAGTTATTAACTTATAAAAATAGCCAAATTATCAGCGGGGATTCGAGCTTTCGTTAACCGGATAAGAAAAAGTATAATCGAACACCACAATCCGCTTAACTTACCGTTTTCTTGTTTACGATCCACAGTCCTAATACTTATACAGCTGATCGGACGCCCAACTTTAATTGCAAATTTCTCAGATTCAAAAGCCCATCCACCCAAACGCTTTTTTACATTATTGGTACAACCTTCCCTTTTGAATAAGTTATGGCTCATCCCATTTGACACTTCTATAGATATAGTATCTCTAGACCAAGTATTTGAGAAGTGGGAGTAGTTTTCATCTAGAAAAGGACGTACTCACTCGGTCTAGAAAAAAATCAAGGGAGAATGGAGCGGACAGTATTCTCTTCTCTGATTCGTTCCGCCATTTATTGTACACTTTCGCAAATGTACATGTATGTGTATGTACATATACACAATACTAATGCGGTACAATATTATATAATGTGTGTAGCACCGTATGTTCCATCACGCTCCTATCATATCCTCTGCATACTCCAACGATAACTGAAAATGACGACTTCCGACTGAATCCGCTCCACTCTTCCTTGATTCTCTCTGACTTGGTCCAGGTGCGTTCTCTCTCATTTCGTACATGCATGTAAAGTATATCTGTAAAAGAGGGGATCAAAAGCACGAAAAAGCAGGCTAACAAAAATTTGAAATGATGCAACATCCAAGCGAAGACGAAACACATCCGTCCCGGTTCGCACTCGTCGTGAGACTCTCATAGAACATATACGAGACTCTCTTCGCCGATCTGACTGTAAGCTGTTACATTTCAATTCCTCGTTCTCTCTTTCGATCCCCTTTCTCAGTGATACATTTTATGTACATGCGCGAAACGAGAGAGAACACACTTGAATCAAGTCAGAAAGAATTGAAGGAGAATGAAGCGGACTCACCGGAAGCTGTCATTTATAGTATACTGTTGAAATGAGTAGGAGATATGGTAGGAGCGTGATGAAATATACAGTACTGCACACATTAGTATTGTACCGCACTAATATTGTGTGTATGATATATATATGTACATACACACACATATACATTTGCGGAAGTTGCACTGTAAATGGCGGAACCAATCAGAGAAGAGAAACACTCCGCTCCATTCTCCCTCGATTTTCTTTGAACTAAGTGAGTGCATCCTTTACTAAATGAGGACTACCCATATTCTTCAAATTTCTGACAATGCTCGGTCTAGAAATACTACATCTATGGATGCTTTACATCTGGACTTGTCTTTTCCTTAAGTTTGTTCACGTCGCATGCTCCAACATGCTCTTATTCTTCCAACCGTAGCTCCAACTCACTTAAACGTGCTCGTTAGGAGCTATGGTAGGAATGTTGAAGCATATTGGAGTATGCGACGCAAACAAACCTCTTGTCAGTGTCCGGATTATAAAATAGCATATTATGATTGGAGGAGCTAAACGTTCGAGAAGCTAAAAGGCAATTCGTATATGGCGATTATCTTATGTATGCTATACGTACATGTCTTCGGCACGAACGAGAGAGACGAGTGTAAGGGCAAGTGTAAGGATACAAAGGGATGTGAAGATTAAGGAACTCACGAAGGAGGTGAGAGATAGCGAAAGGATAGATGAGAGGCGGCCGCCACCACTCGCACACCGCCCTAGCGCCACCCAACCCATTCTATGTCATCTGAAACAGAAAAGTAATATCTTGACGTTAAAATATCTTGATTACTACTATAAATTTGAATTTGTTTTTTTCTTTTCACAAAAATAAAATTGTTCAAAAACTTATTATTTGTAATTAAAAAATAAGCACAGTTTGTTATAATTTTTTACTATACTGACAAAAATATTATTTTACATTTTAATTAAAAAAAATCTTTCAGAATAAGCTTGCCTTTTTTAGGAACGTTATTATGTCTCAGTAAAACTGCAATATAACTTTTGTAATACTATAGCATTAACACTTTAGCTATCATGTGTATTTAATGTACATATGGATTCAATGTATTTTTGTATCAATTTTAATATTAATTTAACATATCTGGAAACATGATAATGTTTCAGTGCGGGCACTAAGTAATCTTATTTGTTACTGTTATCTGAACATCATGGAATATAAAGAATAAGAGGCCGAACTAGGCTTTGAAAAGTGTGATCAAAATCAAAATTCTGAATTGATATTGATAGTGCTCGGTAGACGGCATTTGAATCGCAAAACTCCTCTCACGCTTATGCACACACAACCAAATACACATAACTTACAGATAGAGATGTTATTCTTTGATATCACTCTCTGACAGTAATAAGAAGATGTAAATTATCATTAAAACTATATGAAGAATGGAGCATTCTTCATGTAAAATTGATATGACCTACCATACAAACTGCGAGAGAGAATGGTATCGTGGAACAAAAATGACATCTCGATTAAACTAATTCAAGTGACCACTTTTGACCACGCTTTTTAATGGCCTCATCCATGTAAGTTTAGTCTCCTATTTTCTATACTCCATGCTACACATAAAGTGCCGATCAGAAAGGTTGCAACACTTTTTTTTCGATGTACAAAAAAATAGTAGTGCAGCTAAAAGAACCGATTACAAAAATCCGTATTGTTAAAATTATCTGTATTGTTAAAAATGATCACCTTTGCTTCAATGTTGAATAACTCGGTGAAAAAAAATTATACAATGTTCAATAAAAAAGCAAATTGAAAGTAAAAAATCACTCTTTCTGCTGTAAACCGCCTTTGTGTGGATTTTACTTCACACCATAGACTTTTGTAAAATTTGTACAAAATTTTCAGATTTGATGGATATTCATTTGTGTTCGTATAGCTCTATAAAAAATCAGTCAGATTAAAATATTAATTATCCATTTCGAAATTAAAGATTTCAACTTTTACAAAATGCTTTTTAAAACATATTATTATGATTATTTTCGAAAAAGTTGAAGTTAATTTCTTGAAATTAAAAGATCATTTATAATTAGCGTTAAGAAGGCCAAATTCAAAGTTTTCTTACCTCTGCAAAAAATGATTACAAAGCGATGTTTGAAAAAGCGTTTTAAAATTTAGTCATAACTTTTGAATGCTTTGAATCATGTTTCTATGTAAAAATTTTGTTACAAATGTTGCTAATTTGAAGTGGATCTTATAAAATTGAAAAATAAATTTAAACGTTGATGACGCGCATACAATAAAAAATCTCCCCAATTCTGTGCCTTGTGAAAAAAAAAATATTGGATAACTAAAGCTAATGTTGGTGATAAACGTTGTTTTTTCAGAAAATGATATCACTTCGAAAATCCCGATTAAAGAGACATAATAATGTAAAGGATTAGACCAGTAACACAGCTCTGTATCACTAACTCGCGAATATAAAAAGGAGGCCCTTCACGAACAGTCAGTCAGTCAAACTCCATCTCCGAAACTCTGCTGGTTCGCGACTACACATAGTTACGTCAGTAAAACTCCATCTCTGATACGAAATTTTGCCGGTCCGTGACCTTATCGCTCCATCGATCATAGTGATGAACCGCGATCCGTTAGATCGAGTGACCTACTTGTTGTTACTGTCAAGTAATAAGTGTGACTCAATCGAAGCCTCCACATCACTGAGTCAACTCTCCTCTTGGAGTCCTTGGACAATCAAGGAGATCGGACCTTTGAGTCATATTCAAAAACCTAAACTTGCAGAATAGCAAGTTTCTCTTTTCAATTACTTATTTCGAGAACCTTACCACATCACTGTCTAGGAAAACTCTTAAACAACTTCCCTTTCAGTTTCTGCACTTTTAATTTTTTGCTCCCACAATTCGTCTATCGTCCTTATCCTCTCACATTCATCGATTTCTTCGATGGAATCTGTATCCCTTATTTACAAGTCCGCGAATTTCACTCTCTCCCTTCCTTTTTTCTACGCAGAATCTGACAATTAAACAGTTTTTTTTTATTTTAAAATCATAATGAGTGATCGGCCGCGTACACGCCTTTCCCGCGCGGCTAAACGCTTACGCACCCAGCGCCGCAAGGAGGCCCGTCGGATTCTAGACGAGGCCTATCAGGCATACATCAATGAAATAAGCAATGAATAGTAATAGCAATAAGACTAATGCTAATGTTGTAGCTAACAATGATACTAATAACGAAAATAGTATTCATCCCGCAGGAACTCCTCCCCCTCGATCTCCTTCCCTGACCGAATTCATCTCGTCACAATTAATCCAACGTATATTTCCTGATACTCCCCCTTTTTCTTATTCTGTTTCTCCCGCTGACTCAACGTCAATTGTGGAGTTCTTAGTCAAGGTCCCTCCTCTCCGTTCTCATTACTACTTCCACCATGGAATCCCCATTCATTGTCTTTCCTTTTCTCTCAGTTTCGAATTTCCGAACCCCTTCCCCCAAACACCTTTACTATAAATTTCCAAACCGCAGATCCCGCATCAGGAGTGTTATAACCGGACAATCATCAGAAGCCCTTATACCTATTTTCCTTCCCCACTCCCCCCATCCTTTCTTAGTCTCAATAGCCTTTTTTTTTTAATTTCTTTCTTCCCCTTCTCTTATATAATTAACGAAATTAAATGAATACTATTTAGTCGTGAACACACACACACACACACACACACACATACACACACACGCACACGCACACGTACATACATACGCACACCCACACGCACACGTACATACATACGCACACGCACACGTACATACATACGCACACGCACACGCACACACATATACGCACACGGCAGACTCAGCATGATTTAACTTTGACAAAAATATGTATACTAGTCTTTTATGTAATTAATTAGCAATTCTGCGATTAATGATTTAAGTCACCAACCGCGTTTCGCAATGTATAACAGCTCATAGTAATTACAATAGTTATAAAAATAAATATTACAATAAGATGAATTAAAAATACAAGATTATTCAAGAGAGAAAATACTAGCTTACACTTATAACATGTTAAAATAATAGTTACCAATGCAGATGCAACTGATAATGTACAATTCTTGTTAAAAGGCTAGATTTCTTTTATAATATGTTAGTCGCAAACACAAATACGTTTACTTTAAATTATTGTATACTATAATACTAAGAAAATTTTAGGTTAATAATAAACTATACTTTTAATATGACATGCATCAATCTTCATTTATTTAAGAATCGTAAGACCTCGTACCGACTCCTGCCTCTCGTCAGAGATCGCATATGGTCCGGTCCCGAGTTATAAGGATTAAGTTCTTTGATTCAAAATTCGGACCGACGTTTGCATTGTTCGTTGGAAACAGGTGTTATAGTATCCCTTCAGGATGTTGACTCATATTCCAGAGCTATAAAAGGTGCATTCGATTCGTTCCATCCCCTTCCCGCGAATGCATGCAAGACAAAGCGTCTGCTCTAACATCCTTCATATACTCCATCCTTCTTATTCCTTCTTTCTCTAAACCTACCCACACATATAATCGGAGCTTGGATGTAACAGTACTGAACAGCTATTATTAAGTAATTCTGAACTACAGGGAAAGAGGGAAAAAAATCAAAATATATTTAAAAAGTTTCATGTTTTATTTTAAATTTGCTACGTTTCTTTTTGGCGTTGCAACCACTAGTCGTATATTTTAAATACATTTTGTAACGCACAATTCTTAACATGTTTTATATATCGCATAGTATTAATAACATCTAGATTATGTAAAGAATTTATATCTTCGTAATCAATATCCAAGGTTTCAATGGTCATTATCGAGTATATCAGCCAGCCATTCGCGTTTTTCACATCCTTTAACGTATACGAGAGCCTACATATGTACGTACGTATGTATGTACGAGTAGTTATTACGGTATAGAATCTTCATTACTTGAGACTTTATATGACTTTGTATGGAAAACACGGAATTTCCAGATTCACGTATTTCCTTACTTCAATCTTCACAAGTCTGTTATAGAAACTTCTCGATGTAAATTTGTAATAATTATTAAATAATTTCTGACAGAAAAAAATTATTATGATAAAATATGTTAATTATTCTAGAAACTTCTCAATGTAAATTTATAACAATTATTGAATGGTTTCTGATAGGCAAGAATTATTATGGCAAAAGGTGTCAGTTATTCTAAAAACTTCTCGATGTAAATACAGGGTGTCCCATTCATCACCGGTCGATTTGAACTTCGCGCTATTTTTAAAACGATGCCGAATCTAAGATCGTGATTTTTCGTAATACGCCTGAATAATTTGCACGCGTTCTTTCACCGTGTACTTTTCCATGATTAATTTCCCATCTGTCTAGATGACATATGTGAAGTTTGAGGTTAATCGGTTTGACGTTTTAAAAATAGCGCGAAATTCAAATCGACCGGTGATGAATGGGACATCCTGTATATAACAATTATTGAATAGTTTCTGGTAAACAAGAATTATTATGATAAAATGTTTTAGAAAATTTAATATTTGGTTTTTTTAAGAACATAAATATTATTTTGCAAGAAATGCAAACTAAATGTTTACATTTTTATTATTTATAATACTTTTTTTTACATAAAAATTTGTACGTACTCTATACAATAGTTATATTCCAATAGTTATAGTAATTATAGTACAATAATTATATTAATACATACAAAAAGTTTGAAATCGATAAACATTGGTCTTTCTTTTGAAAAAAAAT